GGCTCACCCATCTGGACCAGAGCTTTCCTAACCAGCTGCTTGGTTTTGCTGTTGCATCACCAAACTCGGCTTTTTGGAGTTGCTAGGAGGGCTGACTTAACTCTTTGTCACTTGGTTGGTTTTCAACCACCTGGTGGGGAAGAAGGAGAGTGTCTGCCTCCCCTGGGAGCCAGGGATAGGAGGGTGGACAGGGGCAGGGAGGCTTCTGAGAGCTGCCCCACCAGGATGTGAGGGAGGGAGTCAGTCTGTGAACGCGGCCCGTGGTTCCTCTACACCTGCCGCGGCCCTCCCTGCCGCAGAGGTGAGCCCCTCCTCCCTTCCCTTTTCTTTCTCCCCACTGTCCTAGCTGGAGTCTCTCTCCTGTGTCGAGATGGAAGCAAACAGTGTCCTCTTCAATGTTGGGAAGGGACTCTGGGTGTCAGAACAGGGCTCGAAGCATCAAACCAAGATGTGTCCAGCTGCTAGTGGGGCCCGTTCCTGCCCACAGAGAAGTCACGTCCTCAAGAGAAAGACAGATAAGTCATTTTAATTGATGATATGTGGCATAACAAACGACAGCAAATAGGATTACATGACAGGCTGAGGCAATCAGGGAGGCCTCTCTGCGGAGGTGACATTTGAGCTGAGACCTGAAGGATGGGAGGAGGAGCAGGCCACCAGGTCAGGGGAAGAGCTCATTGGGCAGAGGGAGCCGCATGTGCAAAGGCCCTGGGGCAGGAACAAGCTTGGCTGGTCTGAGGCTTAGCAGAGGACGGCGGGTCTGAAGTGAGGAGGTGGCAGACAAGCTCTGTTTTTGTCTCTTTTTAAAAAGACATCTGAACATCTCCTGTGAACATTTTATTTATTGTTATTATTTCTGCAGCTGGCAAGGGCAGGCACGGAAGCCTGGACCTTGGAGGTGTCAGCACCACACTCTGGCCACCTGAGCAACCGGCCAGCCCGCAGACTGGTTCTTGTGGGGCCTGGTTTGGATCTGGGGCTTTACACGCAGGGCAGTGGGGCCTCTCGAGGGTGTGAGCAGCGAGCGCCGCTGGGGCTGGAGAGAACAGAAGTGGAAGCCACAGGATTTCTAGATGGATCAGCTGCAACTGCAAAGGGATCCGGGAGGACTCCCTGGTGGTGGTGGCGGGGGCCAGCCTGGGCAGCTGCTGGGTGAGTGGCCATGTGCGGGGGCTGAGGGTTTAGGGAATTTGGGGAGCTCCCCTGCATGAGGTGCAGAGAACCGGGGAGAGCAGGAGAGAGGCCGTGCAGGGGAGGAGGCGGGGCAGAGGGACCTGCATCCATCCCTGTGCCCAGTCTGTGGCTGTGGCTGGCACCAGCTGAGGGGCTGGCTCTGCCTGTCAGTGTTGTAGGGGTGCCCACTCCGCCAGGAAGGGGCCCCATGGCAGGGAAGAACAGCTCTCCCACCTCAGGGGTCTAAGCAGTCAGGCCCCAGGTAGCTGTTTCCTGTTTCAGACAGGTAATGTGCCTGCCTGCTCTCCCCCGTGACCTCCTCAGCCTCGCCCAACTTCCGCTGCCTCTTCTGGAAGTGGGCCACAGGCCTGCTCCTGGACGGTGGCAGGGGGCCCATGCCCAGGATCCTGTGGACCTGCCAGAAGGCCAGCATGTGCTGGTCATGCTGTGGGAGATGTGGCCATCACGACAACCCTCCTGGCCACTCCCGGGGCTGCGGAGCACCCGGGGGGCCTGTGAATGGGGCCGCAGGAGGTCTAGCTGGGCCTGCTGTTGGTCCTTCAGGACAACCCTTCTTGCAAATCCAAACTCCAGTCACCCCAGGATGAGAGGAGTTTCACTGGGAGTCACCTGGTGCCCTGACGCCCCTCGGAGCACCAGCTCTTCCTGCCTCACTAGAGGGACCCAGATCCTGCAGTGCAAGCAAGTCCACTCGTCCATTAAAGCCAATTCACAAATGTCAGATGCAACGTGATTTGATTTTTGTATCACTGGGAGACTTTTCTTATCCACAAATTTGCAGACAAGGAACCCACAGGGGACACTGGCCGTGCCCTGCCCTGGTGCTCGAGGTTGGCCAGGCTGGGCCACACCAGGTGTTTATGGACCACAGTGGGTAGGGGACTCCCAGGACAGTCCCAGCCAGTGAGACCCTCTGAGATGACTCTGAGCACTGGCTCAAGGCCAGGCTGGCACTGACACTTACGGCCACCCTCCTATCCCCACACAGCTCTGCATGGAGGGAAGGGGGTCCTAGACCACTTCAGGGGATGGTGCTAAGCTGCAAACAGGGTTGGGACCCATGTGCCACCCCTGCCTGGAGTCAGGTGGCCTTGTGGCCTGGCCTTCCTACCTGGGTGCTGGCTGTAACGTCCTCCTGCTCCTGGAGGGTCATGGGCTCGAGGGCATCAATCTGGTCTCTCTCACAGGGGATCCTGGAGCCTGGGCCCGTCTTCATAGGGGGAGATAGAAGCAGAAAAGAATGAGAGAACACCCTTGTGAGACAATGCCAATGATACAGCCAATGTGCCCCACTGGGGGACCCCAGGGGGTCTGCCCCTGTGCCCAGGGCACCCCTGACCCACAGGCCACACTGGGTCAGCCCACCCTCGGCCAGCACAAGGTCCCACCTGGGAATCCCCCACAGCCACACCAGGCATGATGGGTGGAGCTCCTCCTGGCCATGTGTGCGTGTGTGCATAGATATATGGCTCCTGTGAGGGGCCCAATGCTTGATCCTCCTTTTTCACTTAATGTCATCCCATGTCACTAGCAGTTACTGGAAAATAACATTTTGAGTGTGCGACTTCCACCTGCCCTGAGTGCGGGGACAAGACGCAATCCAACAGACGGGGACCCTGGGGGCAGGGATGTTGTGACAAGACACACCATGTTGACCAGCTTTGCACATGCCCATCATCTGAATTTCTGGCTGTTTCCTTTGCATGTTCTTGGGATGGTGCTCCCCTGGGCGGCTCTAGGTGGCAGCGGCAGGCATGGGCATCTAGAATATTCTGCCGTGCAATTGGCCTTCCTCTGCCCTCCCTGCGGTGGATGCATCCCACTGCCACCGCCCATCTGCTTCCTGTGTGTGAGGCCCACGCCCGGCATGGGGGGCTGTGTTCTCAAGTGTCCGTGATAGCGGCCCTCTGTGTACTACAGCTACCATCCTGGGCCTCTGCGAGTTACTGCCAACATGCCAGGCTCTCCATCCATGGTGACTGACCTGTCAGGAGCATCCCTGTGGCCACACACTCCAGGACGCACCTCACAGCGTCCCTGGGGCTCAGGGGGCCAGTTGTGTTGCTCAGGGCCTTCTCCACCAGCAGCTTCATGGCCTGGGCGGTGGGGCACAGAGGAGACATGGTGCTTTTGGAGAGGCCACGGCCAGCCCCCTCCCACTGGAGGTAGCTCTACTGGGGCTCAGCTTGGGGACGATCTGGGGGCCCTGGGACGGGGGGGGTCTCCCAACTCTTTCCCTGACCCTTTGAACTTCCATGGAGGAGCGTGGCCAGTGGGGAATCTGCCACTCCTGGCATGGCCGCGGGCAGGTTTCTTCCCCTCTGTAAGCCTCAGTTTCCCCACCTGTGGCCCACAGTACATTTAGTTGGGGTCACACCCCCTCAGCCATGGTGTGCCCCTGTTCCAAGGAGCTCCCCCCCACAGGTCCCTACCCTCGTGTGCACAGTGGCCCCAAGGGCACAGTGTGTGTTTATGTGGGTGCTTCCACATTCACAGGAGGAAAATGGGTTCCAGGGATATGGGGCCTGTCAACATCCAGATAGCCCCGTGCCGGTGACCTCCTCATGGGGCCGGAGCGGACATTTCCCCTGGACACTGGGTGGACACCGAGGCCAGGGTTGTGGATAACGCCAAGGGTGGGCTGGCTGGGAGAGGGGCGGGTAGTCCCCACTGTGTGCGGCCTGTGACCTTCCTTCATTCTCATGCTGGGCCCCAGCCGCCTGCCCGAGTGCAGATGCCACGGCTGAGCAGCTTTCAGACCTACATGCAGTGTCACCTTCTGGACTGAGAAGGGTGGGGATGTGAACAAGGGAGGGACAGATGAGATGATTGGCGAGGGGCGCAGGGACAAGATGCGATCCCACAGACAGATGGGGATCCTGGTGGCAGGGAGGAGGCCAAGCGGGGGTGGCTGGTGTGGCTGATGGGGAAGGTGTGGGGGTTGGGCAGGGACCTGGGGGTGGTCTCACTTGGAGGCACAGGGGCTGCTCATGAGCCTCTCGGGGGTCCGCGCATCCTCTCTTCTCTCTTCTTTCCATAGGGATGGGCTCAGGGGCCTATCGACTGGGGGGTGTTAGGGCCACAGAGCAGGTGGGGCTGGGCCAGGCCACCTGGAGGTCACTTGGCTCCCTGCCCTCTGTCTCAGTCCCCTCCCCACTCTGGTGCCACCAGGCCTCGGCAAACACTGCGCATTCCCATGGACACGCATTTGCATGCCATCCCAGCTTCCTCTGCTGGGTTTGGGTCAAGTAATGATGGGCAAATGGGGCCATGGCAGAGGAACTGCTCCCCTCCCACAGGGCTCCGCGACTCCCTACTCTTGTTACCCTCACTTGGGCTAAAGCGTACACTGGCCCCTTTGTGCAAAGCTGCGCTCAGGGGAGCATTCGTCTCTGGGCCACCAGGGCTGTGGAGCCCTTCAGGGATGGCAGAGGGGATCCGCCACCAGGTGCTGCCTTACCTAGGCCAGCAGGGCCCCCCAGGTGGGCACACACTGCCAGAGGTCCTGGAGGACCCTGAGGAAAGTCTCACACAGCTGCAGGCCGCTGGCTCGTGCCTTTGGGGAGGAAGCACACTGTTAGCGCTTGGGCACCACAGCCCACAGGACCCACGCAATGTGGCCACAGGCGGGAAGAAGGCTGACTCATGGGGCAGTGGGCCCTGATGCAGGCGAAGGCCAGGAAAGGACACAGGGACCATGACCCAGCCAGCCTTGAAGGCAGCAGGTGGAAACAGAGTCCACTTCCCCATGAGCACAAGACAAGTGAATCAGTGCCAGGTCGGGTTCTGGCCATTGGGTGGCCGCAGGACGCAGTGTCCCACCCCAAGAGCAACAGTCACTCCTTCCAAGTTTCCCGACTGGATCAGCAAAGCACCAACCCTTGTCAGGTTGTGGCTCGACAGGAACAAGTGGGCCAAGCAACGAGGAGCTGAGGAGCCACTCAGAGATGCCCCATCTGTGCTCAGAGCCCACATGGCCGGGGCTGTGGTGCAGGTGGTGCTGGTGTCTCTGAGCCATGTTCTCCCCCACCTAGAACCACTTGGCATGGTGGAAGGCGGCCAGGGACTTGAGGCACTTCTCTAGGCTCAGGACATCTCTGGGATCGGGATGAGGTTCCTCCATTCCTTCTACAAGAAACAGGAGAGTGACCAGAGAAACCATTCCTGGGAAAACCTCATGTCCTGTGAAGTCCCCTGCTCCAATGAGAAAGAACTTCACTGACTGCTACTGAGTGGCTTCAGCACTGATCGCTTGGTCAGCCCCTTAAGGTGAAGAGGTAAAACTGCATGGAGCCAGATTTCCAGAAACTTCCAAATGCATCATGATGGAGAAAGCGGGTAGGATTTCAATGTGCCCTGTCACTGACAACAAAGGCCCCAGTGTCGGGAGCAATGCAGGTGTATTTTCACTTTCTTCTCATCACTGTTTCAAGAAGATGCTTCCCATTTCATTACAGAAAGGATGACAGCAAGCCCTGGTTTATTTGGGGCACGTAACGTAATGATAGTCCATAAATACCCTCATCGACCTCTGTCTGTCTGTCCGTCCACCTGTCCATCATGGGCAAATTCCTCCTCTGGGGATGAGATGGAAGTGGTGGGGTGTGCACGTGGGAGGGGGTTTCAGAAGCTGACCACGCCACACTGGGCCAGGGAGAGGAAACCGAGGGAGGAAGTGGCCGACAGGAAGTGCAGTTTCCTCGTGGGCCCGCCTGTCGCCTGTCAAAGACCGGTCCTCACAGAAGGGTTTCCTGTTTCTCAATCTGTCCGGCCAGGCCAGGACCAAGCCTCATCTAGTGGCCGCTGGTCTTAATGTTTGAGAGTCCCCATCTCCTCCCTGTGTGCTGTTCCAGGGTCTTCGGCTAGAGTCCAGTGGCTTTCCACTTATGGTTCAAAGGCCATTCATTCATTCATTCATTCAGAAAGATGACCGGTAAGGGGATCTTAAGCCTTGACTTGGTGTTGTCAGCACCACGCTCAGCCAGTGAGCTAACCGGCCATCCCTATATGGGATCCGAACCCGTGTCCTTGGTGTTATCAGCACCACACTCTCCCGAGTGAGCCACGGGCTGGCCCTAAAGGCTCTCCTTTTAAAAAAACAAGATAAAAAAAAGAATCGATTTAAAGAAAAACCTCAGTGGCTCAAGGCCCTCAGGGATGACGAAAAAAATTAGAAAGGGGGTTCAAGGATAACTGGAGTTTGGAAAGTAGTCCTAGAGACTGTCCCAGGAGGTTCCACAGTGGCTGAGACTCTACGGAGCGCAGGCGTGTAGGGTGTTCCTGGCATCAGCCTTCACTGCGGTCGATGACCAAGTCCCTCACAGCCCTCTGGCCTCCCAGCACCATCTCCACTCTCCCAGGTGCTGCAAATCTGGCTTCAAGTCCGCCCTCAACCCGCATTTCCCAAACAAGCAGCACTGGAACCAGTGGGGTCTGCGGTGGCCCCATGTCACAGAAGGACAAAGTCAAACTGAGCTTCTGCCGTGACTTTTGGGAAACTGCTCACACCTGCCCCTTTCTATCATGTTTCTGCCAGGTGTCACCATCAGTGGAGGCAGGGGCCCAGTGCTGGTTTGGTGGGCCAGGGAGGACAATGCCCACAGCCCAGGCTCTGAGCCCATCTGACACTCTGTCACTGACTCATTTCCTCTGCTGCCCCAAGACCCCGCTCTGGTGTGGCCTGCAGCATCTGGTGGGACAGAGGAGGTGGAAAGCTGTGGTTGTGATCTTTCCTGCCCAGAGCAGAGGCGGACACTGCTCCATGCCTGAGCATGAGCAGCACCCTGGGGAGGCGGGGGACGGGGGACAGAGGAGCTGGACAGAAGGGTTTGGCTGCACCTTGGTCCATGGAGGGGTCCTCTCGCATTAGGGGCGAGGTGATGGACAAGGTGAACTGCACCAAGCTCCTTGCGGGAAGAGATGATAATGTTGGCTTCAGGGTCAGAGGAGACCTTGTACTTGTCCTCAGTCACCATTTAGGGGGTGTGAATGCAACATGAGGCCACATTACTCCATCTGAGAGTCATGTGTGAACAAGCCATGACACAGCTGGTGTGTCCCTGTTCATCCTGTTGGCCCTCACATGCTCACTGCTTTTTTTTTTTTTTGGTCCTTTTTGAGACCGGCCGCACCGCACTCAGCCAGTGAGCGCTGTGAGCGAACTGGTCATCCCTACATAGGATCCGAACCCGCGGCAGGAGTGCTGCTGCGCTCCCAGCGCCGCACTCTCCCGAGTGTGCTACGGGCTCGGCCCGTGCTCACTGCTTTTATGCCAGGCCCTGCGCTGGGTGTCCAGAGTCTCCAAGTGACTAAGACATAGTCCGAGCCCTCCAGGAGTACACATGTGTAGCAATAGGAAAAGACAACAGACCCTGAGCTATAGGGAACCTTCACATGTAAAGAGCACCCATAACTCAATAAGAACAAGACCAGCAATCCAATAAAAAACTGGCGAGTGAAATAACAAAGTCAGCAAAGAAAACACAAATGACCCTTTTTACACAATGACACAAATCGCCCCCATAGTCAGAGAGCAGATTAAAAGTATGAGTTGCTGGGCCGGCTCGATGGCGCACTCGGTTGAGTGCGGCGCTTGGGAGCGCAGCGGCGCTCCCGCTGAGGGTTCGGATCCCATATAGAGACCGGTCTGCTCACTGGCTGAGCGCAGGTGCGGGCGCGACACCGAGGGTTGTGATCCCGTTACCGGTCACGAAAAAAGACAAAAAGGAAAAAAAAAAAGTATGAGTTGCCACTGTCACTTGTGAGAAGGACAAATTCCAGTAGTTTCCATAGCAGCCCAGCCTCCCCATCCATCCTCACCAGCTTCAAAGTCACCTACATTCACCTAAGCCCAGACTCCCACCTGAAACACACCTTCCTCTCCATCCCGAGCCCCTCCCTATCAGGCCTCCCTGCTGCGAAGTGGCCCCTGGGGTCTCTGCTTCCACCACAGGCATGGCTTTTCTATGGCCTTAGCCATCTTTGTGTGGCTTAGGACCTGTCTGTGCAACTGGGCTGTGAGTTTTCAGAAAGCAGGGCCTGCATCTGAGCCACCTTTACACCCCACATGGTAGTTAGCAGAAAAATATGTCACCAGTGTTCAGGCATAGAAGATTAAGTCACTGAAGTCACAGCACATCACTCCTCTGCTTAAAACCCTCGTCTCCCCACTTCGCTGAGAATGCAATCCTATCTTCTTGCACGGACTTCAGGCCCAGCTTGATCCAGGCTCTCGTCCCCTCACGCACACCTCTCCTGTCCCCGGGCCTCCCCCCTTGGGCCTCTGCAGGTGCTGGGCCTTTTATGTGGAATACCCCCTACTCCCACCCCGGACAATCCAACACCTCGTTGTTCAGGTCTTGCCTCCCCCCATCCTGTGTGAAGGAGCTCCCACTCTCCCCAGCTGCTGTCTACCTGGCACCCAGTTTTTATTTCCTCGCAGAAGATGAACTGAAGTGAGCTGGCTCCTGTGCCCGTTTATTCAGTCTCCCTGACCAGGGTCTGCCCAACCCCCCACACCCACTGCTCAGCTGACATGTAAGAGGAGTGATGCTGAATTTAGGAAGAGGACACTGCTCTGGGAACAGGTTTTTTTGAACCTAAGATTTTTTTTTTTGTGGCTGGCTGGTATGAGGATCTGAACCCTTGACCTTGGTGTTATGACACCATGCTCCAACCAACTCAGCTAACCGGCCAGCCCCCATTTACCTTTTTTAATGGTAGGCGTCATTACTATTGGGTAGATGTCACATGAGTTCTCATTCGGAGGGACATTTAGATTGTTTTCAAGTCTTTTTTCTTCAGTGGCTGGCTGATCTGAACCCATGACTTTGGGGTTATAAGACTGCGTGTTTTTATGTCTTAAACTGAACTCACTTTATAAAGGGACCCTGAAGTTGCTAGGCCTCTCTCTTTGCAACTGTAAATTCTGGTTAGTTTCTAAAAGTGATATTTCTTGTTTCTTAAAGTTGCATAGAAACAAAGTTACCCCCATCTAGGAGCCCGAGGGGCTTGTGGGAGCGGTTGGCAGCCAAACGCCAAGGGGACCTTACTGGGAGCTGCAGGGCCAGCTGCTGCACGATCCCCAACAGCAGGTGTGTGTGGGCTTCTGGGAGCACAGCAGGGCCAGGTGCACATTCCTGTCCCCCCACAGCAGGAGGCCTTTTGCCAGGATGCCGATTTCCATGATGCCCTTCAGGATCCAGGCTAAGGGGACACGCCACTGTCAAGACAAAGCCACCAGGGAAGGGACACTGGGTACCCTAGCTGCTCTACTCATGAGCTGCAAGGACCCTGGCAACTTGCAGAGCAGCCTCTGTGCCTCAGTTTCCTCATCTGTAAAATGGGATCAAGCCCATTTTGCAAATCAGAGGCACTTGCTGGGATGAAATGACACATCATGAGATACATCTAAGAAGTGCCAATGCTGGTGGGAAAGGACACTGGCCTCTCTACAGGGCTGCCCAGTCCGTGCCACACCCTGGGTCACTGGACAGCAGGCATACCCATTCTCTCCTTACGCCTCATGAGTTAGAACAGCTCCATGGCTCAGAGACTTTTCTTTTCAGAGTTTGCTGCATCAGAGCTGGCTGGCTGGCTCAGCTGGGCAGAGTGCACTGTTGCAACACTAAAGTCATGGGTTCAGATGTCACATTGCATTTTGGCTTCTCTCTGGCCCCAGAGGTGGATGTGACAGATCAGGGAGACTCTTGTGCTTAAGCTGAGGGGTGGGCTGTGGGTGTCCATTATGTTAGGACATTGTCACTCACAGGTAGAGGACATACATATCCTTTTATACAGATCAAACGCTAAGGTAGAAGGAAGCCACCCACACTCGGCATAATCACCCAGGCACAAAAGGCCACATAGCGTGTGATTCCACTTACATGAAACGTCCAGAACAGGCGAATCCACAGACATGGAGGGTGGGTTAGTGGGTACTTTAAACGAAATGGGAGTGAGTGTTTAATGGGGACAGAGTGTCAGTTTGGGAAGATAAGAAAGTTCTGGAGATGATGGTGGTGATAACTGCACAGCAGTGTGATTGTGCTTCATGCCACTGAACGATGCACTTAAACACGGTTAAAATGGTGAATTGTATGCTATGTGCATTTTAGCACAATAGAAAATCATTGAAAAAAGAAAATGAAAAAGTAGCTCCCTAGAGAGGAAGGCCTTGGGACAGCTGACTCCCTCACAGGTGATTTAAATCGTGTGACAGCTAACCACTACAAGGGGGACTGTCTCATCTCCTGATCATCATGGTGATTCACACGGGCTCTCAGTGACATTATGCCTCCGATTGCTTAATCACGCGTGAGGTGAGGAAGACAGCTACGAACCTCACTGAGCTTCCTTTTGCAGGTGAGAAAACTGAGGTTTACAGGGATGCTGAATCCTTCACAAACTCCAGTTTTGGATGCGCCTCTGATAGCAAAAGGGAATGTGTGCTGTTAGAATAACAGCTGTCACCAGCTGCCACCAGACCTCACTTGAAGCCTTGAAGCTTGGGCTCTGAGATTTGGGGAAAGCCCCAGCAGGCCACAGAGGGTTCTAGGCTGATCAGAGATGGGGGCTCCCAGCTCTGGCTTGTCCTGAGGGTGAGCAGGGTCTTGGGGAGGGAGGGAGGTGGGGATGTCCCCTCACCTGGGCTCACTGCCCTCTTCCTCCTGGTTTCTGCAGTTCTCCTGGACCGGCTTGTTGGACACCAGCTTGGGGAACGGCTCCACGTGGGACACAGCCTTCTGGACGGCCAGGAGCTCCTGCTCCATGGGGTAGATGGTGGCGTGCCTACACATGACATGCTGGTCATCGCTGAACTCTGGCCATCACCCAGGCTGTGGGGAGAGGCAGCGCAGTCAATGTGAGTGGAGGGGTCTTGGGGATCGAGGGGGCAGGGGACAAGACAG